CTCCGAATCAAATCCATACTTCTCCAATTTGTGGAAAAGAAACAAGCGAAGATCGTGATATCGTAGTAGCCGGCGTCGTAGCGTTCAATAATCCACCTCAAGTTCAAACAAGTGTTCATTTCAATCTCGAGGTCAGGACCGCCGGCTTCATCATCTTCACCGACCTCGGAAACTTCCATCTCGGCATCATCCCCAGACTTCGATTCAGCGACAACCGAATCCTTCCCGGCCTGAAAGCCGTTCTCATACATGAACTCCCCGTAGGATGACTTCTCCCTTTCAAGTTTGGCCATCTCGGCCTGATGAGCATCTTTTTGCCGACCTACCAGTTCGCGGGTCTCAGCACATTCTTTACGAGCTGCATCAAGATTAGCCTTTTCCTCCAACAAGGCCTTCTCGGTTTCCATCAGTTTGGCCTCGGAAGTTTTGAAGTGCTGCTCCACCACGGCCAGGCGTGCCTTGAGATCTGCCACTTCGGCCTCATAGGCCTTCTTCTCATCTGACAATGTCACAGTCTCAGCCTTTGCCTTCTCCAACTCGGCAACCTTCTCAGAAATTTGGCCCTTCAAGTCGGCCTCCATTTTAGCCGATTCTTCCTTCAACTGAACGATCACCATATCGCGCGCGGCTAAAACGTCCTTTTTCCCTTCCAATTGAGACGCGACCCGGCGATGATCATCCTCGGCTGCCACTAAACTAACCAAGGCCCTGCCAACGCATGCCTTGGCGTAGCTCAGCTTGTCAACACTGGATAAAGAGGAGACCCCCACTTCGGATTTGGGGTCCCAAACCATCAACGGAACCCGAGCAGCATCTCTTGCATTCTCTGGCATTTCGATTCTCGATGACATATGTGGTGACTTCACGAACAGAAAAGTAGTGAACCAATCCTCCACAACACCCTCAGGCACCTTAACTCTGGCAGCCCGCTCTTCGTCTATCGACAAAAAAAACTTCTCAAATAAAGGAGAATCATCCGTACCTTTCTCAGTCGCTTTACGACCGGAGTCGTGCTTTTTCTTAGACCTCTTCTCTACTCCGGACGAAGCTCCGACGTCCGCCATCTTCACCAATTTCCTCTTCTTCCTCTTCTCTGGTTGCTCCAACTCAAGCGACTTCAGAGAAGCTGGTGGCACCTCGGTGTGAGCAACCTCGGCAGTAATCATTTCGGTCCCTGCTATGATTGGTTCCGGATCTGCTTGGTTAATCGCTGCAGCCTCCACTACTGACAATACTTCGGTAGTCGTCACGTCTGGCACAGACTTTGGGCTTTCAGGCATGGCAGCCGAAGTGGCACTCGACCCCACCTCGGTCGACTTCTTCCTAGTGTTCTTTTGACCGGCTGTCTTCTTCACCAACGCACGAACAAGATCCCTCCTCATGGCGTCGTTCAGTCTTAAATCCCGACTCTTACCAACTTTGGATTGAAGGTCTCTGTTCGGAAATTTAC